ATATATGCTCTTCAATGAGTTACGTCCTTGATATGCAGCAACATCACACTAGGCTCTACGGTATTGGAGGGAGTCCGGAAAATAAACAATCACCCCTGGAATGGGTCTTCGGGTGACCGTAGCGTGATTCAAGGACCTGGGAGAAAAAATCATGAATCGAACTATACTGGTCGCTGCGAAACTCGCAATGGATACAAGGTTAGTGGTAACATTTAAAGGGGAAAAGGATTGAACCTATTTTGAGGGAGGGGGAAGTTGTAGCAGCACACTGTACAATCGAACTCTGCATACATATCCTTTCAAGCATTCTGGTCTGATAAGAAATGACGAAATGTGAATGAATCCTCTGAGAAGATGATCTAGGTGTTGAAGTGACTGAACTACGTTGGATGCTTGAGGGAGAATAAAACTTAAAACCAGGGCAATTGTAATGATTTGAGGGTAAGCTGTTCTGTATCTTTGTCATTGAAGTAATAAACTGAATAATGCCAATTCCGATGAATAACTAAGTACCTAGAACAGCTTTTTATCCGATAGTAGATCCGTGTTCGGTAGCAGCACGGAATGAGCACAGGCTTTTGTATACTCGGAACTGCTTGCTGTCCGTCAGTGACCTATTCAGTGCGTTTTTTCACCACCTGCATAGACGGGCCTGCAGGGGTGCCCAGATGGCTACATATGCTTAGAGAGGAAGTGTCGTAATGTGCTGGGGCTTGAGTGTGTAGTAGGGTCTCCCGTGACTGTCTAATGTGAGTTTAGTCTCGCGTAGGTCGGAACCGTCGGCGGCTCAGGTTGTTCATGTGCGCAGTTAGCTGACAAAATTTCATGAACACAGGTCCAATGAGACATGCACACGCTTCGCAGTCAAACTAAATGATACGTTGCTAAGAGAGTTACAGCTAATGAAATATAATGGCATGGCTTGGCGTTTGAACTAACACTGAGGTGCATGAGATCATGCTCCGTGCTGTCACAGCTAATGAGACTTGGGTTCTCCAATGGGTCGGTGTTCCAATTAGCAGTACAAATTGCTAACTGAAGAAGTTGCAGTAGCTGCCATTGTCTTCTAATCCTGACAGAGGGGCGCCTGGAAATAAAAATCAACGTCCCGTCATCCGATCTCTGGGTGAGCCTCACGATGATATAAACAGCAGCATGGGGCTGGAACGGGAGTCATAATTACGGTTGTTTCTCATTGCACGCTATCTATCTATCTATCTATCTATCTATCTATCTATATATATATATATATATATTGCTGATTTGATGGTAAGCACGACGCCGACGATGATCACAGGATTTGTGGCGGTCTGGGATATGTAACAAAATGAAATGGTAATTAAACAGTTAGCCTGTATAACAACGAATAATAACAAATTCCTTGGCGTTTCATCGTGCACCTTGAATATTTTTGTATGTTTATCAATTTTTTACGGGGTTGCAACGGACACTGCACAGCATTCGCGCTATTGGCTTCTATTCTCTAACCAGCGGTAATCCTCATTCCTTGGACCACAACCTAAACGTGAGCTGCACCAGCGGAAGTTGAAGCTAACTTCCTCATACTTCTACGCCATCTCATAGTCTGTACGCCGAGGCGTTTCTTCCAGCAAGTGTCAAAAGAGCACGGAAACTTCGGGGATACGCGAAATGTGACCCAACCATCGGAGCCGGTGTAGAGCGATTTCTTTTAGGGAACGGCTATCTGCAACCCAACACGACGAACATCGTCATTGCGCACCCAATAATCCCATCAGGCATGACAATGCTTCGTAGAGATAGGTGGTCGAGTACAGAAAGTCGAATAACATCCTCCGCTCGGAGACGTTGGGTCTCTCAACTGGCAGAGCGCTACTGGTCGCGGCGTCGTACACCCTTATCCGATTCCACGGCGCCGCCGCAGGTTGGCAAAAGCTGCTCTAGCTCTCGCTATCCGTAATGTGATCTCCCTAACGCCACCTCAAGCTCCGAGATACGTAAAGCTCAACTATTTCCAGCTGATCTTCACAGGGTGTGTGCAGAAAGGCTCCTGCCAGTCTTGAATAAGCTCTGCACATAGTACAGAACACACCTTAATTCGATTGGCAAGCTGCTTAAGACGTTTTAGACCGCCTGTGTATTATCACCGGCATATTCCAAGTTAAGGACTGTTCCGTGAGACTCCGCCGTTTGCCGGGCCAGACAAGGCATTCTGTAAAACATCCTCTAAGACAATTGAAAAGGAAAGGAGGTATAGGGCAACCATGCAGAACTTCGCTGGAGACCGCAGTGACGGTGGTGGGTTTTTAATCGCAACGGCTGTGTGCACCGAATGCGCTAACGCCGGTGAGACGTTCATTCTGTGTCGATGTACACCCTTTGACTCCGCAACATGGTAAGCAGTTTGTTAGATACGTGTATCATTCAGTGTCATTACCAGCATGATGTACTGCTGCAGTGTTCGAATATATCCATCAGAATCTTGCGGTTGGCCCTTACCTGATGAGGCACACTACTCTCACGTGGTTTTGATCGGTGATCTACTTACCAACGTATCGATCTCTCCCTAGGTCACACCAGTAGTGGCAGTTTCACGCGTTGCGTAAATCGAAATTTCTTGGTACTAACGTGGACGGTTACATTTGTTTGCCCAGAGAACGAGCTTTAGTCTGTAACAAAAGTTTCTCTATTTGAGAAGTTTTTAAAACTAGGCATCTCATTTTCTTGCATTTCATCCAAAAGATCTTTTCGAGGGTTCACTCTGCTGTTCGCACCGAAACGTTCAACTCAGGCACCGTCTTCGTCCCCAATGCATGACTCACGGTTTTAGTCCATATAACTC